ACTGCGCTAGAACCCCCATTCCCTATACTACTACTTAAACCTTGTTCGCATTGGTAAAAGCTAAGTGCAATTATCATTGCTTTGTAACCAACGACTGACAAGCCATTAGTGTATTATAGCGTTACACTAATTCAGTAGTTCATTGGAAGTAGAGCCACTCTGTGCAACCACTGTTTTTGTGTTATTATTACTAATATTTGGTCTACTATCTGCAAATTTGAATGCAGAGCTGAAGAAACGGCAGGACATCAGACAATGTCTGGCCAGAAGTTGGACTTGTCCAGTCAAATCTTTACCTTGCCGGTTGTTTTGAACAGTATTATTTGGCCAGGAATAAGGAGTGGATGAATGGATTAGTCAGAGATTGTCTGCATGACACATACTTCTTTCTCAAACTTAGCTATCCTTACCTCAGTCTGCGAATCAAATCCTTGGTGATCACTTGAATAGTTTCTGGTTCATCTGGATTACGAGATCGTCCTAAATATGAATGATAATAAATGTAAGCTCATAATTGTTTTTATTGCTGACGTACTGGATCGACATGACACCTGCCTAAGGGAAGTTCAGCAAAACACTGCTGTCAATCAGAGTATGCAAAGGTACCAAACAATATTTCCTTTGACTGCAGTTTTGATCAGCACGTAGCAATGAAACAGTGGTAATCCACTGTATAACAAATCCTCAAATTATAAAAAACATAAGATTTTCTAAATTCTTTTTAAGTTAAAATATTTACATTTAGCTTAGCAAAGTTAACTGCTAGTCAAATACCATGAAAATGAATAAGGTTTTTATTTTTTATTCATATAATAATCAAAATATATAAGTTTTATTAGAGAAATTTTAGGGCAAAGATTGTAACGAAGTAGATTATTGCAGAACGACTATTTAGCTTTTTTTTAAATACCTTTTCCGATTGGGGATTTCTTCCTTGAAAGAAGTAATTCTTCTTCTCCTTGTACATCCCTTGGTCTTGTCTTTTGGGGGGAACCAAATAAAGATTCATCCTAAAGAATAAAAATTGTACGATAATGGTCAACGATACTTATTTTCTCGATATTTCTTTAATGTTTAAAGTTTATCGCCAAGTTAAATCATGTGAATTGAAAATAAAACAGTATTTGCTTACCACTGTCGAAGTTTTGTTAATAGTGCGGTACTGTCTTGTATAACATCGTCTTGATCCTGAAGAACCCGCAGAATCTACTGAAACCACTGTACTGTTCGGCTGTGCAAGAACAACAAAAAACCCCTCTTCAAAAAATCGCTCCAAGATAATTCAAAACTGCTACGAATAAACCTCAAAAAATGTCTATATGTTCTTTATATTTTAATAAAGATATGAGAGAATTTTCAAGAACTTACCATTACTGGTAGCGCTTAAAATAAGTCAGAATCTAGAGCTTCTTCTCGTCTTCGTTGAAGTCGAATACAAAATGGCGATCACCTCAACAACAGCAAACTTTACATCAATGTTGCTATGGTTACAGCGCAACAAATACGGAGGAGACTGGGTTGCTCTAAATTCCACAGGAAACCCAAATAGAAATAAGTTCAACATATTTCGAAAAAAATAAAATAAATAAATAAATATCTTGTAAATATTCTTTTCAAACAAAAACAAAAATCCTGAATGAGTTCGCCTGAGTTTTCAAGTTTTAGAATTGTTACAAATAACGTTAAATAAATAAGCAATTATAACCAAACTGGGTTTCCTGTGTAATAAAGAATCCGAGAGGGATTGTCATACTTCAAGATGGCGGCCACCAACATGTGGAACAAGTGTCTCTCAAACTTCAAAAATCACAGCTTCATAACGACAAACCAAAAGCTTCTCTCCTTTAGATATATCTTAGGAAGACATGCTGGGCTTTGCACTGCTGTAAAACCTTATGCTTTCCATCCAAAAACTCGTACATTAGAGTCAGATATCCAAGCACTTTATCTTACTAAGACAATTCAAAAAGAAGGTCTCCCAGATTCTTTACAGAAAAGTATTTTAGACGATACTTTGACAGATAAAATGATGGATAGATTTAGACAGTGTGTAGTACAAACACGGCTTTTTAATTACGAGGGAGAAAGGTCCACCAAGACGACATGTGCATTGCCTTTGATGTTGAACATGATGAAGGTGGTGTGGAGTGAAGCAAATAGGTAAGGAACTGAAAAATATAATTCTGTAACTTAAAATAATGTAATTCTATATCTTATTATCTATTGCAAATGGTGGTTAAACACTAACCACCATGTGTGCTGTAACCCAGACAGAATTCTATTGCTGGGTTTTAATCAGTGCTATCGTCGTGTACGGATTAACGAAGTACGTCATAGGTTTCCGAACGCACGAGTGGGACTTAGAAATTTTGGCTCTCCTCACTTAGAAAAAAAATTAAGTGAAGACACCAAGAATCGAACTCGGTACCTTCGGCACCAAAGAACTACTACAATGCCAACCCCAACCCTAACCCTAAACCTAACCCCTAGACCACGAAGTGAATTCCGTTGGGTGGTCTCATTTTTTAGTCATATTTAAATGATGTATCATCAGCGCGTGCCATAAATATTTATTATAGTTTAATTTATGCTATCGTAGGGAGTAGGGTACGACTACTAGCTGATTACTCGAAATTTGAATTTGAGTAGAATTCTTCTGACAATTCCCGTACACAACGATACAACCTTTTAATCAGCCGATAAAAGTCTCTGAATCTCATTATCTGCTTCAAATGGGGGTCAAACACTGAACACCATGTGCTGTCAACCAGAAAGAATTCTATTGAAAACTTGCAATTCAGCTGATGAACATTTCTGCTTGAGACACGGCAATGACGTCAAGTGAAACCAACTTATAGTCCTTGCACAAAATTTCTTAAGTGATCCCAAAACAGTGTTTTCAAGTCCATTTGCTGTTTCTAGTAAAGTCCAAATAAATTATATTCTTTTTTCATAGCTTTCCTGGTCTTAATGACATGTCTCTGTCTCACAAACCCCATGTATCAGCAGTATGGAAACGGCATGACGACGCCATCCAAGTATCTGGTAACCTAGGTTACCTACTCTCATCAAAGACATTATTAAGTCCTTATGTCCCAGCTGATTCATTGAAGGAAACTGAAGAGATAAAGCTAGAAAGTCTTGATCTTATTGCTCCAGTGTTCAATCTACTAAGAGTGGCTTCAAATTGTGAGACAGACACTGGGTTTTATGATGGCACACCTTACCCACACGCACACACACTTGTGTTAGTGAATACAGAGAACAAATGGTCCACTAGGGAAAGATGTGCTCAAGGTTAGCAATTTTGTTATATTTTTTTCAATTTTTATCCAATAATATTGTTTTTAGGTCATACAGCAAATCTGTAATATGACACTGTACGTGAACTTTACATACAGTGTAATGTTGGTGAAAATGTTAGTGTACACTAGTACTGTTACACTAACTTTTATCACTGTTTGGACACTTTTTAGATGGGAATAATCCTTGGACTTTTCATCATATTACACTGCTCAGTTGAGTTTTGCATAAAATTGTTTTGAAGTTTTGTTGGTGAAATGTGCATGGGGCAACATCATGGATAATTGTCATACACACACTTTATTGATGGTGATGTCAGTAATATGCTTGCTTATTTCCTATTATACTTTTTATGTTGCTACTGACAACATGTTGCTACTGACAACATTTCACTGACAAAATTTTGTGGCCAAACTTTTGTTGTGCCAAACTTGACTGAGTAGAGTATTGCTTTTTTTTGTTTTATCCTGTGCCTAAGTTTTTCCTACAAGTTCACCTAGTTTTCATCCCTCTTCAAAAATCGACTTCTATCATCTGATTCAATCCTTCAAAAAAAAACATATCAATTGCTTGGAAAGCATAGCTTTAACAGTACTGACAATAGTCCCTTTTACAGTTCCCTGCACCATCTTGAAAGGTAGCCGTGCCTTTGCATCGAAGCAAGACAAACGGTGAGCTTGCAATGATAGAGACCTTTTTAACACATTCAACAATTATTCACATCTCTATCATTTCAAGCTCACTGTTCATCTCACTTCGATGCAAAGGCACGGCTACCTTTCAAGATGGCTCAGGAACTTGTGAAGGGGACTACATAATATTTAAAAAAATATTTTCTAAAGAAAAAACTTCCTAAACAAAATTTTTATCCATAGGTTTAATGTTCACATTTGGGAGGCTCGTTAACCAGGCAACCAATCTCCATGGTAACCAGATGGGTAAGATTCTAAAGGAGCCTTTAACTGCTCAGTGTGTGGTGTCAGATGGTTATAAGCTGTCCTTTATTATCTACCAACTCAACACTTTGGATTTCTCTTCTGATGAGGGGGTCAAAAATATTGCTTGGGTTTTACCAGGAATGAAGATGTATGAGAAAGCTTTACTTGAGGAGGTCATTCCAGAGAGTGGTCAATATGAGACCAAAGTAGAAGGATTTAATAGAGACTGTTTTGAAATTTTCACTAATCTTATCACCAATGGAACTTTGAGATAATATTTGTAAAAAATAATTCGTTATTACTGAAAAAAGATTAAAGATTTTGAGTTTGTGGTCCATTCTTAAATTTTCCTAACTCTTGAACGAAGATGATGATGATGATTTATGATTAGTAATGATGAAGTGTGGAGAGACGGGACCTCCATTTAAAGTGGTCATCTGAGGCACTCGAAATTCAAACCATTTGCAGATGTAATAGACCTCTTTACCTTGGGCGTAATGTTTTTCCATTTCGGACCATGTGTCATTCCCTAGAGTATCATTTTTTGTTGTAGATGAGAAGACACATGAATATGGATACAACTCAAACAAAGAATCTTATTCTCGTGAGAGTGACATGTGGTCTGAAATGGGAAAACATTATGTCCAAGCTAAAGAGGTTTATTACAAAGGCAGCACTTTCTCCTCAGTTATTTTGAGGAAATGAATGTTGGTCTGGCTGGTACTCAAACCATGACCTGTAGTCTCACAAAAAGTCTGATGCCCAACTAACTTAGCCAACCAGATGGCGGTGAAGCTTAGTAATATGAAATATACTGATGAAAAATCACTTGCAGTATTTTTTGCTGAACATATTGTTGGAGATATCAGATTTCTATCTACAATCCTGGACAAAAGTATTGGGAAAGCAACATAAAATTACATGAAATTGTTATCTTCTCCCCCCCGCCCCAAATTCAATGTTGGGGCAAACGGGGCGTTTGCGATGATGTGTGGTTTGACCAACATTGAGTTGGGGGAGGGGGGGGGGGGGATGAGCTTCATAGAGATGAAATGGCGTGTAAACATTGAGAAATTATGGATATTAAGACAATATCTTAAAATTTAGCGTTGACTTTTCAAGTGTCCCAATGACTTTTGTCCAGGATTGTAGCTAGATTTACGATATGCCTGTGTTTGCAATGTAAGAAAAAAGTTTATTGGCTAAACGTTAAAACTTTATTTCCAAAACAATATACACTCAGTAGAAAGATAACTACAGTCATTTTAGCATATGCTGCTTATGACCTGGTTTGGTTGCACCCTCGTTTCTAGTGCCCCTCATGTTTTGCGAAAATTCTTTTTACAATAACTTACAAATTTTTCACGCACTGATTGTTTTTTTTATCATCAATAAGAGGACAGACAAATAAAGCTGACGTCAACGAGTGCGCGTTATTTCCGTTGGTTGTTTTGATCATTAAAAATTAGAAGTTGTTATCGTTGTTGTTATTGTAAAAAACAAATAGACATCAGTTTTTTAGGTGTCTGTCCTCTTATTGACAATAAATTGTGTCATCACATTGTCAAAGTAGTGTGGATCCACGAGGCGTAGCTGAGTGGATCCGCATACTACTTTGACAATGTGATGGCAAAATTTATTGTCAATAAGAGGACAGACACATAAAAATCTGATGTCAATTTGTTAAATTGAGCAGGTACTGTGAAAGAGTATGGTCCAGGTTGCATGGATCAGCTATTGAAGTCCATTATATTTCAGGCAAGCAGCAAGCTATGAAATCTAGTCTAGTCTCCCAATATTCACTTTTTTAACTTAAAATATGAAAAGTTAGATTTAAATAAGGTAATAAAACTTTTTCCTAAAAACTAATACAAAACAAAAAATAATAATGAAAACTTGGAAAAAAAACTAATATTTTGTCAAACTTTTGCTTCAAAAGAGCTTTTACAAAAACCTTGACTTATTTCCTTACAAATATGCATGAATTATTTATTAAACTTTAGTTAAAAACATGCAACAGCCGTAAAAAACTTCAACAAACTTTTTAGGAAAGTTCGAAAAAATAGAAAACGTGTTTGCGTTCAAATTCATCAAGTCATTTGAATCGCGAACGCATCATGTCGGACTTGTTTTTCATTAAGCTGTTCTTCCATTTTCACATAAGGTTGACTTCGGTCGCCAGTAGAACGAGGATAACGCTCTACAATGGACTCGTAAACATTTTCAACCACGCGAAAAGGGTTCTTCTTTTCGTATTCACCCAGAGTCTTATCCACAAATGTCAAAGCCACCTTATCTTTACCAGCACCTTCAACTTGGGTCTTGAAGGCAGAAACAGCAGCTTTGGCCTCCATTTCTTTGTATTCATCGAGAGCTGGAAATACTTGAGCGTAAGATTCGACCTTCGTGAGGTCATCGTAAGCTTGAATCAAAATAGCTGTAGGGGTCTTGTCGCTCTGGATTTGTTCAGAAAAGTACATTTCTGCTTTGCGTTTGCCTTGATCTTTAGCGAGCCCTTCCATTTTAGAAGTGAAAGTTTCTACTGCTGACTTGGCTTCTAGTTTTAAGTACTCGTAAGGGCTTGGAAGGGATGAAATAGGGCGCTGGCAACAGCATCTGTACGTGGTTAAAACGATAAATGGGACACCAAGCATGATGGCCAGAAGTGAGAACGCAATGATTTGCGATTCGTCGCTGGCCTTCGAAAACTCAAGCTCAATTCTCTTCTTTTCTTCGATAGTTTTGTTAAAAAGTCTCGCTTCTTTGTTCCCAGCTTTCGCACAGGTATAATATTTTCGCTCTAGGAACGACCAAAAGATCCATATCGCTGAAGCTACAGCACTGTAGAACAAAACCTCGAGGAGATTCTTGCTGAAACCCCATTTTGGAAAACAACAAGGACAGTATCGCCTCCTTGCGCTTATTCTCCTTCGATTGCCTTGATAACAACATCCTGTCGCAATTTTCCAGAAGCCATCGTTCAAAAACAGAGCGATAAGGAAAAGTATTATTCCTGGAGCGATGATAAACATCCAACCGTACGAAGCGTGGTCTTTTATAGGGCATTTGAAGAGATCTTCGCTCGATACGATCGCTTGCATTCCAAACACGAGTAACACTGTCACGACGTTTCGAACTGTTCCAGTTTGTTTCTGGAAAACCGATTTCAAATTTGTGAACATCGCTGCCATTGTGATGGAAGCCATCTTTGAAGGTGGTCAAAATCTAATGCGAACGATTGAATGTGGCGAGAAAAACAAGTCGTAGACTGTTGTTGTGGTCTAAAAGTCACGCGATCAAGCATAGCAAAAACAAGACTACCACAGGAAGCCCAAACCTTCAAATCATATCTGAATCCATCTGGGCTGATCTAAATCTATCATCTGGGCATGACTTATTCGTAGAGTTCGAACCCTGAAAGACTAAAACAATCTCTGGGCTGATCTAAGTCAGGGCACAGCTAACCATAGTTAATAGATTAAATCCTGAAAGAGTCTCTGGGCTGATCTAATTAAGTCAGGGCGTCACAGTGAATCGGGATCGGAATGCCAAAGTGCAACACAATGCTTGAAGTGGCGCCGAGTCTTGTTGAAAGTCTCGCTGGTGAAGAAGAGACAAAAAAAGGATAGAGATGTTTCCCCAACGAAGCCTTGGAGCTGAATACTCCATATAATGTTGTCGCGCAAGATAAACTATAGATTTGCTATGCGCGGTAACTCCAGCCTCGGCTAGGAACTATTATTGGTGGTCACTGAACGGAACTATAAAATGGAGTATTTGGGAATCGGTCCTTCTCTAAACCAGTCTTTCTCTAAACTTTGTACAAAAACGTCTCGCTGCAGTGCTTCAGTTGTCACATGGTTAGCGATTAACAGTTGGCCCGATTAGACGCTACGTATCCTTCGTTTTCACGTTGAGTCATCTAGTGGACTATTGCAAAAGACTCCTCATTAGGCCGTCATGTCTTTGTCTTTTGATCCTCTTGGGAATACAAGGGCGTATCCAGGATTTTTCAAAGGCGATTTCCTACACACCAAACTATTACTATGACGCTATAACACTATGGTACGATTTGCTCTTTTTTATTGCCTTTGTGGCTTAGAAAGGGGGGTCACGGCAAGCCCCCCTAAGTACGCCCCTGGAAGGGTTGAAAACCACCAATACTCGGCGTCTTGCCCCATTAACTTACTTTACAATTTAGTTTATGCCGCAGGAAGTCTAGAACTAAGGTGATGACAAGCTACTTATATAATACAGATTTTCTTTTTCTATTCTTGTACAAACGCTTACTTTATTTGAAGCAAGTGTGCATGGCTGAGTTGGTAAGTGCGCATGTGTTACCTGCAAAGCGAGGGTCCATAGTTAAATTCTAAATTTCTCTAATCTGTGTTGCCTCACGCTTTGAATACTCTTAAAACGAAACACTGATGGAGAGAGGGGAGTAAAGTGTGTGTGCGTCGTCAGCTCCTTAGGAGACCAGCCACAAGCTGAAGTAACACTGACGTTAAGGCCTTTACCTTCACCTTTCAGTGTTTTGGAGACGCGTTTACACTAGCGATTTTTGCTGCGATTTTTTTGCGATTTTGTCCACAATAAATAATGGTAAAGAATTTACTCATAAGGTTTTTTTCAGGATACCAAGATTTTCCTAGACGAATGTCTCTTTTGAAGGATGAGACAAAAGATTTCATATTCCCGAAAATTGCCACAAAAATCGCCAGTGTAAACGGGGCTTCACAGCCAATGCTGGCCAGATGGGTGCCCATGTATTTTCAATATCTCCTCAGGATTGGATCCAGGGGGTGGTGAGGGGTCACCACTCTAGTCACCCCTCTCTCACTTTTTCACAAATTAAAAAAAGTGTTTGTAAGGAAAAGTATTGTTATGGGGGAATTTTCTATTATTCCGCCTTTTATGGGTTTCCTGTGGTATTGGCGCAAGGTATTCTTTAACCGTCACACCCCTTTTAAAAATCCTAGTTCCGTCCCTTGCTCCTCCCCTTTGTTCGTCTCCCTTGTATGGCTGGCATGCACTGATCACCAGTCAAACGAGGACCGTACTTGCTACTTATCGCATTTACTTTCATCACACCAGGCAGTATCCCTGTGTCAAGAGAGGTTACTAGCCAAGGATACCGCTGGAACATCCATCTGCGGATGTAGTGTGGCCGTCACTATATATTTATACTTTCTAATATAAACAAATGCCTTTGTGCATGATATTTACCCACTTCAGGCCATCTCATACCCATTTGACATACCTAGTGTCATTGTTGAAGTCTAAAAAATCCTGGCCCTCAAAATGAAGGCCGAAAGCAAAAGAGTGGCACCGGATGTAATGAACTGAAACCTTGGTACAATGCCCATACTTATATTAAAAACAAGTTACTCATCCAGCGAATAGCCTGCGTGCAGCCAGACTTTTCTTTCGACGGACTTAACAGTAAGTTAGGCCGGCTGCACGCGGGCTACAAATATGTTAATTGGATACAAATATTTTTGTTGCAATTTTTTTAGGTTATCCTAGATTTTGTGTAAAATATTCATATGTTTCAGTGAAGGTCCGTGAATTTTCAAAGTTCTTGTTTTTACGAGGGTAACAATTAATCGCTAGTGGTTAACAAACTAGCCCGTAGGGTGAGGGTTGGGAAGCGG